GTTTCTGGAACCTCTCCATTTCGGCGGTCGAAAGGGTATTCATGTTGAAGAAAAAGTTGTTGCCTGGATGATAAAGGGCGTTTGAAAGTTGCGAGTATCCGTGATCGAAGAATGCGGATGAATGAGGGTGTTGAGGATAGAAGCCGGAAGTTGAATCCTGTCCAGTGGGAAAGTGGTTGATAGGGTCGAAACGGTTCCAGGGAAGATCCGACAGGGACATCGCATAGAAAGACGTTGGATACACGGCTTCAGGAGCAGTCGCTTAGGGATGGAGAAGTCGCCAGAAGCCTTTCCTTAGCAGGGAGACAGGACCTTTATTCACTTAGCGAAGAACATGACGGAAGAACGTAATACACACGAGACAAATGAGCATCGTTTGAAACAAAGTTCTTGTGTGACACAGTGATGACCAGCCGGCTGGGTTTATTCACTGATGTAACCGACCTACTATGTGACGTCCTTAGCATATCTCGTCAAGCCCGTAGCCGTGCAGAAGTTGCAAGAGGGCTGTTTCCCGGGAATTCATCCGTGAAGAGACGAACAGACTCAGCCAATGATGATGAGAGAAGCAACTGATCTACCAAGGATGTGGGAAGGTGCTAGCAGAGATGGTGAACCGAAGCCGGTTGCCAGCCGCAGAATCACGTCCACGGGATCCGACGCTGGCATTGGAAAGGCAAGAAGGATCAAGACTCGCGGGACCGAGGTACCAAAAACAGGATGGAGGAATAGAGGATCAAGATGAGAAGAGGGAGGGGCTGACATAGCCGGGGAAAGGGGAGGTCAGAGGCAGCTGAGCAGGCAGAGACATAGAGTACGCAATCATGCACTTGGCTCGAGGGATGCGAGAGCCAGAGATGAAAGAGCATCTGGCGATGCTGAGTGGCGCGCAAGGCCACGGCCTCTGCACACAATCAACCCTCCTTTACAAAAAGACTTTCCAGGCCGGCGAACGCCAGACAGAATGAGGTGGACAAGGATTCCCACACGGTTGACATGCCAGCACTCACACGCCTTGCATCTGATGCGCTGGGAGATGTAACGGATGCTACTCCATCGTCGATTGGATGCCCTTGGAAGAATTGCAAGGTACCCGGAACGCCACTGGGATTAAAGATCGGGGGTGGGTGTTTGATGGTCGGGGAGAGCCAAGACAGTAATAGTAGATGCAGAGAAAGCCGCAAGAACGAGAAATAAAGGGATAAAGAGGGGAGAAAGTGTTGGGGGGGAAGAAAGGGCAAAAGCGAAGGAATGGGGGAGAGAATAGTACAGAGAGAAGCGGGATGCGAAGGTAAGATAACACAAACCGGCAAGGTGATGTCAAAGCCCATTGAAAGGAAAAGCGTGGTTGGACCTACTGGAAATCTGCAACAAAAGCTCTCTCTTTTTCTCTACGGCTGAAGTGCATACGTCCCAGGTGTGTCACATGTGCCGTGGCATCAATGCTTGGGATGCGTCGGTGAAAGTGGCCGATGGAAATCGAAGGGTGTTATACTATGCCCCAAAGCGGTAATGATGATAGACAGTCCGTCGCTCTTCGGAATGGCGGGAGATCCAGTAAGATAAAGTGGTTTTCTGTTTGAGGGGCAAAAGTGTGAGGAAAGTGGGCGGGCAAAAGTGTGGGCGGGAAACTGTAAAGTGTGGGAGGGGGAAGGTAAAGAGGAGGAAAAGGCTGAACGATGGATTCTGGATGGTCAGGGCGACCGGCTAATCACTTGACGGGAAAGTGGATGAGAGGATGATGGATGATGGGATGAACAGATTTAAGGTAGGGGAAGAGAAAAAAGACTGGTAGACCGAGCAGGGATGTGGAAGAACCTAATAGTGGTGGTAGTAAGTAATGTAAGAGTACTCCGTGGTAGATAAATAGACGGATAATAAGATAGATAGATATTGAGGAAGGGGGTGTGAGGGAAAAGGCAAGTAAATAGAGTGTCAAGACAAGACGAGTCAAATCAATGCCATATCCCGAATATTTTTAAAACCCCGAGGTGACCAGGGTTTAATAAGGAAGAAAATTAAGCAGCCAGCAATGGAAGGATGGATGCGTTCGTGGAGAATGGAGAGTAGAGAGAAAAGAAAGGAAATAATAATAATAAAAATAATAATTCGAGGAAAAGAAAGGCTGACTGACTGACTGACCTTCAACAACTAAGGCCGGGCGCGGGGTTTCCGACGGGGTCGTTCATACATACAGTCCAAATACAAGTTCGGTCAAGTCGGTCTGCTTGTCACGACTCGCTAGCGGATGGATGCGTGCTTTGCTTGAAAAGTGTGTGTTTCCACCAGCATGGATAGTCCAAAATTATTCAAGTCGGTCTCAATCAACCAGGGTCATTTTATTCCCTTTTTTATTTTTTCACTCATACAAAAATAAATAGATTATTTTTTTTTCTTTTCTTTTTCTTAATCACTATTTTACGCACTCATGCACAATCACTTCCACCCATCATCATTTCATTTACTATCTACCCCTAGAACAAGGCAGGCAGCGAAACTATTGTAATACTTGTTGATCGAAGCCTCCGGGACCGGTGGATGGAATTGGAATCCTGGAATGCACGGATGGACAAAACTGCCGGAAGAAATACTAAACCATGACGTTTTAAATGGTTGATATTCAGGCCAGCAGCAACCGAACCACCAAACGATGCAAGACATGGCTGGTCAACCATCCTCACAGCGTTTGGATATCAATGATCGGCTGGACTTGCTTTGTAACATGAGGGCGGTATTGTTTTGTTTTGTTTCTGCTTGAAAACTAGTCCATGCAGGAAACATCAACGTCTACAAACGAGGACTGACTAACTACTTTTTTTCCATTTCCCTATGTACTAGTGAAAACCAATGGAAACTAGGCACAACTACTAGACACAATAATACAATGCCAGCGAACGGCCAATAACGATCTCTCACTCAGGAACAGAAACAAACTAGGATCACAACATCATTCGACAACAACACCTAAGAAGGAATAAAGGGAAATAAGAAGAATTATAATGATTATAATTTGCTAATTCTCATCTACTATTTGTGTGGTGGGTATAACTACCGCCCCCCTTCGGTAGGGTAAAACAAAACCTCACCATCGCTTGACTTACAGCAGCACAAGTTGAAAAGTGCAGCGGAAGAGCCGGTTGGACGGGGACCCAATGGGGATGATCATCGTCTGGCGGTCATCCCCATCCTGTGCAACAGTCGGAGGTGGTACTTGCTCCTGATTCATGTTCGACGGGATGGGATTGGATCCATCCACCCACCCGTCATTCAGTCTGTCCATCCAGCTGGCTGAAGAAGTCCTGCTTTACCCACCTCACGCTGGTTCTCATCTACTCCGGACATACTACGGGATGATCCTCATCGGTGTAAAAATAGAAAAAAGGAAAATTCAAGGGAAAAACAGGGCGAGAATCACCCATGGAAGGGAAAGGGTGAACAGGGACAGCCGGGGCATCCTGATTGATAAGCCAAGCTGTTGAATAGTTACAAAAAAGGAACATCTACATAAGGAGTACATAGGGAGTATATCCACCCCTTACTACTTACTTCTTCACGAATTTACGATGCCGTAGATACCATCACGAGGCAAGGTGGTGAACGAACTCTGATTGGCTGCGAGGGTTCCAACCCACGGGATCAGTCCGGGTGCTCAGATCGCAGTCCTTGTAGGGTCGGGAATGGGGTTTAGCAATCAAAACGAGATGTAAAAAGACAAAACACATAACTTTGAGGGGTGTCGTATTCTCCCTCCTAGCATATTGCCGATGAGCGATCGATGATAGTGATGATGATGCTGATTAAGGAAAAGACAAGGACGAATAATAGTTACTAAACTAAATAAGTGAAGGCGCGAGACAACCACCGAAACATAATACCAAAGGAAAGCAGCCAAAGACCAACCATCGGCCACACACATACTCAATACTACTTAACTAATAATACACGCTCTTCCACACAACTCACTCATCTGCCGCTGGGGGGAGCAGAAACGAACGCCCGATCTCGATACAACCGATGACCCCTAGCTACCTGCGCCTCTTGATCCTCCATGCACTCGAGAACGGCCACATGTCCTGGCAGGATAGCCGACAAATCCGCTTGACTGGCGGAGTAGCTGCAGCAGGGCCGGTCTAGCAGAACGACTAGTAATCTGATTAGAGCAAAACCATTGTGGTTGCTTGGAATCCGAGATTGACTCCTGCCTAGTCGACTATTCCAGAGCTAACTCGGGCGAGTGGGAGCCGGTCTCAACACCAGTCTGTCTTAGCGCTTGCAGCTGCATTTACGGCCGACGAACCTGCCCTTGTCTCCACGCACGCGCCCTGCTCGATCCAACACCGCTGGACGGTGAAAAAGGGACAAGTCATTCCCGGGTAGATAGCTTGTCGAGTTTATTTCAATTTAATTTATCGTCCATCCGCGCACTGCTACCAGCCGTCTTGCATGCAGAAGCTCCAAGTGCGGAGTCGGAATCTGCGACAAGACACGGGATTCCGCCGGTGCCTCACTGCTCCCAGTGCGCGCACGCTCTGCTGTTTTCTCCCTCATTTCCCTCATTTTCCCGGTCTAACTCTCTGCCTTTTTTTTTTTTCTCCGTGGCTTCGCTGTCTCGTTGCTTTCTAAGCACTAAACTTCCACGGCCCCAGCTTGAGACATATCTCTCATGTGTGGATGGTTGATGATGATGATGGTGATGGTGGAGGTGTTGGCAAAGTCTTATTTCTCTTTCATGTATCGCTGCTTACTTCCGACCACAACGTGTCTGTCGGTCTGTACCGATGAGCATACTAAACTATCTACTAAACCACTGACCTCTCACTCTCTTTCTCTCTCTCAAAACCCCCGGACAATCAATCAATCACACGGTCAAATTCCATCCCATCCTCCCCAATCCCATCACAGTTGACCGCCGCACGGATTTTGTACAATAAGGCCTCCAACCACCACACCGGGACCGCAAGAAGCAACGGGCGAGCATCAACGTTGATTGCACTGGTATCTGACAAGGGGATCAGACCACCGTAAGATGGTAAGACCTCTGGTGCCATCCTGTCGGTGTGACTAGCCATCCAGTCAGCCCTCCGGATTGTGACCATGGCCATGGACAAGGATCGTAATCAACCGCGTCTCCTACCGCATGGGGAGAAGGTTGCCAAAACCGCATCAAATGGCCCGAGATGGCAGGCTACCAATGACTCTGGCTCCAGGAAGATTCTCGATCCAACTAAGAGGGGGCTTGCATATGCTACCTCGGAAGCCGCTCCGAAATCCATCCATCGTCCGTCCGCTCTCAGGATCCCTGATCGCTTGCTTATTCCGCCTTCCTTCCCCCCTCCCTCTAACAAAGGTCGGTCTCTGTGCGCGCTCCCTGGCCGGGGATACATGGTACATGGTACATATGCTACTAGCTATGAGGTGGTGGGTGGTGGGTGGTGCTTTGTCAGGTGCCTCACTGCCGATAACTAGTTAGTCACTACAGTAAGTAAGTAAGTATGGGGTCCCTTGTAGCCCACCAGGTCCGCAAAACCTGGTTGCCTCGTCCGCTGTACGTACTTTGTCACGGCACTTGACACATCACGGAGCACAGAGTACCTGAATCTCTCCTTTCTTTGTTTCATTCTCTTGCTTTCTTTTTCTCCCTCACTTTTTCTTCTCAATTTCTTTTTTTCCTCTTCCTTCCCTTCTCTCCCGCCATTCATGCAAGATGATATCGTTCCGATTCGTCCCACCAACATTCTAGACTAGGGTATCCGTCGTCAGTTACCGAGGACTTGTCATGACTGTACAAGTGGGAAGAGAGACCTGCACTTGCATTTCGCGACAGACGGATGCAGCATAAATCAGCGAAAAAGCAACTCGATGAATAAACCAAAATTAAGACATCTGGCAGCTGCGGATGTGGAGACTGACACATCGCAGGGGATCTGGCCAGTCTATCTTGACAGTGTCAACTGTCACTGGTAGCAGAGAGGAAGAGGGTACTATACTAGTAGTATTTTGGCAGCAACCTTATCATTCGAGACATCTACCTCGGTGTATTCTCGGTTCATTGCAAGGCAAAACGTCTTTACACACCGGTAACTGACACTTATCCCTGATCCCTGAAGGCACATTCAAAGAGTTACGGAGGGGAAAGCCCTGCAACTGCCTGTCGAACGGATGTACTGTGCACATATTACGCACACCCACTCGGATAAGCAATATAGATAACTTTTTGTAGCTAGTCAGGTAGCTACTGCTGCTATCTCCGTAGAATAGCTATCTCTCTTCTACATACCTTACTGTAGGGTTCATTGAGAGAGCTCCGTAAGCCAGCCTAAAAAGTCCGGCCAGGCCCTCCCGTCACGGATTCCACGAATAAGATGACTAGAGAAGCAAACACACAGCCGACCATGACAACTTAGACACATCCACAACTCACCATCTCACACACCGACCCAACTACGTACTACGACAGCTACTTACCAGTTACTACAGTAGTTACTAGTCAACTACCGTCCTGATCGGCATTCAATCCTCTCCCCGCGCCAATCCCCATCCCCTTCCGTCCCGATCGATAAGTAAACAAGAAAAAGAAAGCTCCAGTTCCCCTTGTGCAACTTCAACAATCAAGTTCTTAGACCCTATTGTTCCCACTTTTTAATCCCGCATACTCCAATCTAGACCCTGGTTCATCACTCACTTCCACTGTACCTAGAAGATACTAAGTAAGTATCTATTCTACCTGGATGACAATCCTATGCTGTGTTGTGTAAGTAGTACTCCGTATTTACCCCGAGAAATCTCGATTGGGTACCTATACCCTTTAACCCCCCCTCCTCTCTCCCCGGTTTCATCTTGAGTTAGGTACCTACCTCTGCCTCACTTTCTGCTGCATCTCTTAGGTACCTAATACTTTCAAGTACCCAACATTTGCGCCCCATGGGATGTTCAATGTTCAAAAGTACTTACCTCTCTTCCTACCTACCTGCCTACTGGACAGGGTACATACAGTTGGGGCATGCAGATTGCCAACTTTCCTTGACTGCCTGTCAGCTGCACGATGGAGAGTATAACCTGGTAGGAAGGTAGGTAGGTAGGTGAGTGGTTGATTGCTTTTTGTCTGCTCCATGCAGTGCATACATAGTTACTTTCCACACAAGATAGCGGATTTCTTCGGCCGAGTTTGTTTCGTCTTTGAGACATTGACATTGGGATGGCTACTTACCTACCGACGGAGTATCTACTTCGTGATGCACTTTGCTTGCAGCTGTCACCATGCCTACAGCCTACCTACTTACACATCAGCGTAGGGCATAACGCCTACGCAATTCTATCTGTGCTTCTGCTTTAGTGTCCTTCCTGCCATCTGTAAGCACCCGGTAATCACTGTCTAGAATCAACAATGACCTTTTTCTTATTTTTTTTTTTTCTCTTTCTTTTGTCCATGTCAAACCACACACCTACAAAACAAACTAAGCACGTCGCACATCTGTGTACCCCCAAAGCTTCTCTCTCTCACACACAGCCCATTGTAATCCCAACCAATCCATCCACCACCTTTCTTTCTTTCTTCCTTCCTTCCACAACATACATACATACATACATACATATCATCCCATCTCAACACATACATACATACATACAAGAGTCCACCCCAGCACTTATCAGCAAACAACCATCACACCACCCATGCACACTCCCCAGCATAACAACCCAAAATAAGTCCCAAAATAAAGTTTAGACAATCAATCAATCAATCAATCAACCAAGTAAGTGTCTAGTCTACCCCAATACCAGGATACTCCCAGACGCCTCGCCTCGCCTCACCCCATACGTATCAAGACCCTGTACAGTACTTTCCATCCGGAGGCGTCAAACATGCATACAATAGATACTACGGAGTACATAAGTAGTAGGTAGGTACAATATGATGCGTATGATGCAGTCAACCACTACCCGGACGAATAGGGCCCTGGCGTGCGTTGGAGGTACAAGTACGGAGTACATAGTGAATTGACGGACGTACCTTACAATAAATAGTAAAATCAGTAGATAGTCTAGACTCACCGGTAGCCAGCCAGCAAGCAAGCAAGCAAGTAAGTAAGTTACTCAGCCCAATACCCTACCCCTTAGCCAACTACCAACTACCAACTACAGTAGATAAACCAAGGTACTTTCCATCCCACATGGTTGCAAAGAAACCAACCAAAACCCAAAGAACCGGGGATGTGTGTTGAACCTGAACATGACCTGTCACGACAACCGATTCAGGAGGAGAGGGGTGAGTGGGTTGGGTTGTGGCGGCCTCGGGATAACAGGGGTTTTAAACTTGATTTATTATTGTCTAGGATGTGGATGTGGTATCACTTAATGTCTGTGTGTGATCTGGTCAGGCTGATTTTTTCTTTCCCCGGGTGTTACTTACTTTACTTGAATTGACATCTGCTGGGATAGCACGCATGGATTAGAATATTATCTGTGTATCAGTCTGTGTGAGTCTGTGTGTGAGCGAGTGAGTGTCAGAGTGAGAGTGGGAGAGTGAGTGACAAAGTACCTCTTACTGTTGTGGATGTGCCTGGGGAAAACGAAAAGGGATTTGTGTGTGGCTTAGGGGCTTTGACTTCCTACTTTACTTGCTGTAGTTTAGTTGGAGGAATGGGAAAGAGTTCCATGTTCCATGGTCCGCTGCCCACCCCCCGGCCCTTTTGGTGATTTTAGTGTCTTGGTGGCTTACGGATAGGCTATCTAGATGCCGTGCGCATTGGTATTTCTATGATATCATTGTTTTGGTTTGGTCTGTAGGGTGTGGTGATTGATTGATTGATGGATGGATGGATGTTGTGTGTCATGATTTCATTCCTATCCTTACTTCGTAACCCTGTGTGTGTTTCTCTAAAGTGTATGGGCTATGACGCAGAAATGGTTTTGTTGGATGAATGGATGGGACAATGCATTGCCCTCCCTAGACGCCTCCCAGGCCCAGCTTCGTTCCAGACCCTCCGCCGCCGCCTCTGCCTCGGTGTCCACCCCGCAGTCGGCGACCACCAGCGCGTAATCCTGCAGGCGGTTCATCTCCAAACCCGGGTTGGAACATGGGCCCTCCTCCTCTCATACCGTGCAGCTGTGCAGGATCTTCCCTGAATCCATCCCCGTCGTTCAAGGTCGCTTGCCAGAGAGACCGCAATGATCCGTTCCACTCCTGGAGTGCCCGCAGCCGGTCCACGTCGCTAGCGCTTTCAACCTCCACAATCCCGTTTTCCTGATCGATCTTGGCATTGAGCTTCTTGTCCAGGATCAGGAAGCTCAGGATGTCTTGTACCTCGGGTACCGAAACCCGGATGTGCTTCGAGATGAACTTGAGGGTGAATCGTGTGTACGGTGCGATCAATTTGAGAACAGCCTTCGTCCGCATATTTCGGCTGACCTCGTCGATATTCTCGGCGATGAAGGGATCGGCCAGTACGTCCGGGTTTTTGCTAAGGATAGCTTCGTATGTGTGGATGTCGTCGCGTTGGAATGCATCGACTAGATCGGTCATAGCGGATATGCGGGGGTCGTTCTTGTACGGCTTGGTCTCTTGGGAATAAAATGGGTTGATATCCGATTTCATCAGCATCGTGGTCAACACGAGATACTTGAGCACCTGGATTCGCTGTATTGAGCCCGCCTCATCGTAGTTTCGGAATGACTCGAAGAAGTCGCTCTGCGCTTCCTCCCAATTCTCCTCACTCATGTGCATCTTTCCTCCGCATTCTCGGATGATACCCATGATCTTGGGGTGCGGCACCGCCGACCGGACTCGAAGGGCACGCTGGTAGAGTGCTTTTAGTCGCTTGTTGTTCTTCGTCTCGGCATACATCTGTATCTCTAGGGCGTATAGTTCGAGAAGATATGTCCCTTTGCTGGGATCGTCGGTTCCATCTTCCCGCTGGCATGCCCGGTGCAGCTCCCGCACCTTCTTGCTTAGCTGGCCGTACTCTTTCCGTTCCAGCCAAAGACGCGCCAACTTGATGTTTGTCTTCAACCATAGTCGCTCGTTGTTGGTATTTTGGAATGAGCGCAAAGTCAGAGAATAGAATTCCTCCATGCACTGGTAAGCTGTGTCATCGTCCGATCCCTTCTCGATATAATCTAGCATGTTGTTGATGGACTTTTCGGAGTAATTACGAGTGACGGCCGACTTGACGTAAGTGAGAAGCTCTCTGTAGTGTTCAACGGCCTGGAGAGTCAGTATCTTATCATCGTGAGCCAAGGGCGCAGTGACGCCTTACATCGCTATATCTCCCAAGTTTGAATTCCAACTTGATAGCCTGCTTCAGTCCTTTGAACCCCCTGGACTACCGTCAGCACCTTGTCTGAACCATCACTGACGATCACAGCCTCTTACCAGTCGCCCTTGTCTTGTTCTAGATCCGGAACACCCAGAAATTCATCGATGGCCTCCTCCGGGTTGTCTATCTTCATCTGTTTGGCATTATAGTATTTGTTCTCGATACCGACGTCTCCCGATTCGTCATCGTCTGCATCCTCGTACTCGAAGTCGTACCTGCGATAGTTCAGCTGATTAGCGGCCGCGACCACCGGCGGGCTGAAGGGACAAAATAGGCTTACTCCTCGTCACCCGAATCTTGCATGAAATCATCATCGTCAGACATTATGAACGGATTAAACCTCGCTGCGTTTTGGGGTATCAAAAAGAATCAAAAACTGAGCGACAAAAGAGGATCGACTGCGTGCTAGAAGACCGATGGAGATAAGAGATGGAAGGAGATGGAGGTGAGTGAGGAATGGAGAGCTTCCGCGCCTATCGGAGCCTGGGGCCAAAGTTCGAGGTTCCCCGCCTTTGTAGCTTCCTCGCCGGGCCCGACCGAGACTACATTCTACTATAGCAACAACCTACACTGGACTTGAGGCTTGTTTACTCCCGGGAATTGCCTGTCAGTTAATTTGAATGGCTGTTTCATATGTCCTAGACATCTACTTGAGTTATCTTACACTGAAAGGCCCAATAGCTCAGCCTCCGCAATGATTGCCGTCGGATAGAGGGCTTACTAGTAGTACTATGCTTACTGTACTATATATAAGTTCAATTCACGTTCAATGACAAGATCACCCAGACTATCTTAACTAATATTACTGCCTATTAGTGGCTCAGTGACAGAAAAATGGACTCTGACACATTTAGTGGGACCGATTCAAGCTAGACTTGCATGCAATGATTCTAAATATAAAGTCAATCTGAGCGATTTGCGCCTGTCACAGCCTGAATCTGCGTGCTAAATTGAACCCGACATCTACAACTAACCGCACCGCCTTAGGCAGGAAGAGTACGCTCACTCACTCTACTATTGAGTTGGCTAGTATAAGCAACACCCTCCATGGTTTCAACAGACACTGCCACTTTACTGTGGAGGGCACCCTCTACCCACCGTCAGAACTAGCCATCTTTGCGGGTGAATTTTTGCGAGGCGTGGCGAAGCGAACTCAGCGCTTCCCGACTTCCAGAGCGGCTCAGGCACTTGGCAGATGACGATCGTCTCTCATTTGCGGATCGCCCGTTGCAGGACGGAGCCGATGACATCGACCGGCCTCGCTGCACGGCGGCCCACGACTTATCTTCGTGTTCGCAACCACTTTTTTTTCTTCTAGCCAGATCAGTGCCTCGTGAAACGCTATTCGTACCTATTAGCCCTTACTCCGCACACTTTATTCCTCTTCACTATCCCCTCATTCTGTTCGCCATTCTGCTCTTCGGTTGATCCCCTCCCCATCTAGCCCCTTCCCTCCCTTATCTACTTGGACCCTTCTTTTCGCGCATCTCGACACATCCACCACTCCCAACTATCGTTACAATGAGTCTCTGTGGTCGTCAAAAGGTCGTTCGACGTAAGATGGTGCTATTGTCAGTTTCACCAAGCCTTGGCAGTTACATTTGATGGGCAGATTACTGATTCCAGATAAGAGGGGACGGCGCTTGCGGCAAGACCTCCGCTCTGAATGTCTTCACCAGAGGGTGGGCACCCCTTCTTTTTCCTTTGTGGTCGAGACCGCTAACTTTCTGGTAGATACTTTCCTACGGTCTAGTGAGGATGACCTTTCTGAACGCTGATTTCCTGTTGCGATATTAATCCTTCCCACTTACATAGTGAGCCTACTGTATTCGGTGCGCATGCTCTTCCTTGGCTTATGATGATCATCTTACTGACCGTTGTGCTTTCCAGAAAATTACGTGCATGGTACTTCCTCCTCCCTACATAAACCCAGGCTGGCATGCTCACATTCATCTAAGATATCTTCGTGGACAATGTACACATGGAATTGTCGCTATGGGATACGGCCGGCCAGGAAGAATTTGACCGACTGCGCGCGCTATCATACGAGGACACACACGTGATTATGCTTTGTTTCAGCGTGAGGATTCCCGCTCCTCGAGGATTGGATAAGAGGTTGACTCCTACTAGGTTGACAGTCGCGATTCGTTTGAGAACGTGGCGAGCAAATGGATTGAAGAGATCTCGGAGAATTGCGCCGGCGTCAAATTGGTGCTTACTGCCCTCAAGTGTGATCTGAGAAAGGATGAGTTCCTCAACGACAACCCGAACGCGATCACCTACGAAGAAGGACTGGCGAAAGCCAAGGAAATTGGTGCTGTGAAATACCTGGGTAAGGGCGACTCTCACCCCGTGATATCATTCGCGTGATGGAACCTGACTTCTTGACAGAGTGCTCCGCCGTGCAAAATCGTGGTATCATGGAAACATTCTACGAAGCTGCAAAGGTCGCCCTGGAAGTCAGAACTCAGGGCTCTAACGGATCCGGCGAACGGTGTGTCATTCTCTAGACATGCCGCTGGCCATCCTTCATGACTTGTCGACTATTGCATTGCTCTGTTCTTATACCCTTCTACCTGCTTGCTCTTCAGCCATTGAGCTGGATCATTTGCTGTGGCCATTCCAACCGGGGAATGCCCTGGTTTTCCCATCACTGGCATCGAGCTATCATATCCTGGGCGTTTTCAGCCTGTCATGCCTTGCTCTGTTCTCTTCTCTATATATACTTGTTGGACCCCTTGTTGTAATCCTGTATACCTAATGTTTGCTCTGGGGATACCTTCCAGAAAAGCGCGCCAGTCGGGACACACCTATGGCTGCTTATCTATATTCCATCACTCGCTCTGGTCGATCACTGCGACCATTGGTATAGACTATGCAAATGTACCATTGATAATGAACACGCCGTATCTCGCGTACTCAATAGACTCCTTCCAACTCCTTCTCTCAACCGCACCCTTTCCCCCAGCATGCACACAAAGACCATAACCACGCTCACTCCGTTCCCTCCCTCAACAAATCCTCCTCACTCACCCTATACACCTCCTCAATCCCCTCCCCCGTCGCCCCCTCCCCACAAGCAAAATCCCCATTCACCCTCCCAACAAACTTCCCCACAAACCTCCCAGCCACCTCCTCAACCGTCACCCCCTCCACTCCAAGCCCTTGTAAACTCGTCGTCTCCCTCCCCTCCAACCCACACGCCACAATCTGCCGAAACCACCACATCGGCTCCTCCGTCACATTCAACCCAATCCCATAACTACTAATATGTCTCCTAAGATGCACCCCCACCGCCGTAATCTTCTTCGGCAGTTCACCTTTCCCTCCCTCAGACCCTCCCTGTTGTTTCCGTCCATGCACCCAAACCCCCGGATCCTCCGTCACCATCCCCCTCACCCCATACTCCCTCAACACATCAATCACACTATTCTCCAACAACCGTATATGACACCGCGGCGTGAGCCCCAACCGTCGTAGATCCAGAATCGTGTATGCGACTAGTTGGCCCGGCCCGTGGTAGGTTGTTTGTCCGCCGCGCAGGGTGGGGTGGTATTCTGCTACCCGAGAGGTAGGGTCATAAGTGGTGTTGGGTTGTGGGGAGGTTAGGATCTGGCGGATTGGTTCGAGGCTGGGTGGGAGGGAGAGAGTGGTGGTATTGTTGATGGTGTTGGAGGGAGGGAGGTCGCGCCGGCCGGTCGTGTATACGGGATTCGGGCTGAAGGTTATTATGGTTGGGTCCGGGGGGTTCGGCGTGAGGTGCTTTTTGTGTGAGAGGAGTCGGCTTGTGAGTGTTTGTTGGATGTTGGCGACCCGGCTGAAGGGGGTTATATTTGGGAGGTGGAGGTGGGCGAGGCGCATTTTGCCGGGGTCTGGTGGTTTCCTTTTGGGTGGTGGAGTTGGGATGATAGGAATTGGAATTGGGATTGGCGGGTGGTTAGGATTGGTGGTGTATTTGCATTGTATTCTGGGGAAGGTGTGTCTAGATACGGTAGGGAGTGGTGAAATTGGGCGAAGTTATTGAATAGGTACTACAGTAGTAGTTGGTGTGGAATTTATTGAGCTTGCGGTTTGATAAGATTGGACGTCACCTCCCCGGATTGTAGTGTCATGTGATGAGGAACGCAATTCCGATCTCGATTTCGTGCTCTTCTTTCTCACATCCGGAGCTTAATTTGAGATTGAGTTTGCTTGTAGCATTCAATTTTCTATGTACTGCAGTGGATACTTCCATATTGGTCCAGGAACATGATTGCGAGATCGTGTCTGCAGAGATCTTCAGGAACCGAGAGCGCTGAAACTTCCGATGACTGAGTGGACCTAGGTAGTCTGCAACACTCGCATATCTGCTTGCTTGCTTGCTTGCTTGCAATTTCCCAGATTTGATTGTTCACTCATGAAGTTTGATATACAAAATAGCATAGATTTCAAAGCGCATTACTCGGGCGCAACGCCATTAACCATCGTTCCCTGCGTGCCCTCACCCTCCGATACCAACTGCCAATCCCTCACGCCACCCTTCCAGTCTGCAATGCGGCCCTCGCGCACCTGAACCGTCACGACGCGGACATCGCTGTCAATTGAGATACTGGGCCGTCTTTGACCGGGTTGCTGCTGCAACTGTTGCCCGAAAGTGCCCAGCTCTTCCTCGAAGGTGTTGTTCTCCAGATGCTGCTTCTTGCACCAGGCCTCCTCTTCAGACCCAGGTTCCAAGAAGCGCGCGGTACCGGCGATAGTTGTGGAGATACTGGAAAGGGCGCTTGTGTTCAGGTTCAACAACAGGCTCGCCAAAGAGGACCGTGTGGCTGCAGGCGGGGGAGACCCTTCGCGACCATCGGGGTTGGGAGCCCGGGTAGGCGGACGGTGCGAAACCCAGTCATGGACCAAAAGGGACACGCGAGGGTTGGTGAGCAGATGGTTGGTTTTGCGAGAGGAAGGGTTGGTGGTCATGATAATCGTCGGATACGGGTCATAGGGAGTCGAGGGGAGGTAGGTGTAGGACATGAGCGAGATGTGCGGGGTCAAGCCATCACATGTTGCAAGGTGAAGCTGGCAGCGTACAATATCAGTTTCCAATCACAATGACGGTAAATAAAGGTATAGAGATTGCAGTACTCACGAATCGAGAATTCTTCAGACATGAAATCACCTCCGTTGGGAGGGTAGTCCCGACATGCGGATGAGTAGTTGTGGCTGAGGCCTCGTACGAGAGGGGAGGGTTCATAGAATCCGCCATAGTGTAGGACACGGAGAAAATATTTTCAGAGCCTAGGTAGGTTAAGAGGTGCTGGATGTCAAATGTAGCAAGTGCGCTTGGACTCTGTCGAGTCAACGAGCTCTCAGGTAGGACAGTACACAGTGAGTGGCAGTGGCAGTGGCGGGCCAGCTCAGCTGGAGGGGTGTGACTAGCAACCAGATGAGCTACCGGATTGGGGACTACCAGACTAGTCTCGTTTAGTACTAGCCATCCGGGCCCGGATCACTGCGCGGCTTGCTTCTGATTACATAAGAGACAGCTCTGGTCTCACGACGTCATCGGTGCTGGGAGCCACGCTTGAGGCGGTGATGGATGCTGCCAGTATTTTTCAACTCTCTACCGAAAACCCCGGTGAGTTAGAGGCAATTGATGAGCCGTTACCAATCGGGTTGAAGATCTTAATGAAGATAACCTCATTTCCCGTTATCATGTCCGTAGCCGTGAACGCGGAGGAAAGGAAGCAAGACCGCTTTCGTCATGGTCTCGGAGATGCAGGGCCAGGCAACGAAGATCGGCCTAGACAAATGGAATGGACAAATCATGAGGAATGTCTATCTCGGGGACTACACATCATCCGCAGAAGAAAACAAGAGCTGTATCAGCACAATGGGATTAGTACACTAGGGCTGGGATTGGTGATCAGCCCTTATATAAGGCAGGCCCCAGCTCAAGTTACATTGGCAGTAGCCGAGAACAGAGAGAGGAAAGCACAGCCCAGTTACGTTATTTAGCAGAATAGATCAGACAAGTCTTGTCTCTTCACAGGCTTGTTTCCCCGCACTTTTCCAGTTTAATGAGCAAGTGACGCCTTTTTCCCCAGTTTCCCACTTGTGCCGTCCGGAAGTACCTTAACCACTCAACTACCTTCCTTTCCTTCCTCTCTCTCTCTTTTCCTCTCCTCTTCCCTCCCCCATTCACTCTCCACACTCTCCCTCCATTGGCTCTATTCGATTGTCACCTAATATCCTACATACCCGTGGCTTATAACCGACAACCGTTATTGGGGATTATTACTTCTCCGCCCGACAATTCGACCTTCCTCTTTGCTGATCCTGGACTCTAAAGCTTGCGACCTGACTGGTTCCGTGGACTCCTGCTGCAGTGCGCCTTCCCTTCAGCCGTCGGTCAGGTCGTTGTAACGCATCGCGTGTCTACCTACCTCTCCCATCCCTGCCCTTACCTGCTGTCTCAGTTACTCTTTCTACATCTACTCATCTACTTCCCCTCTCCTGTCGGTAAAACCCCTCTTCTCTTGTGTCGCCTTTCGCAGTCTAATCGCTGTCGTTGGGCTCCTCTTCTGCATTGCTGTCAACCCGACACACGTCCATCCATCTTTCACTTCACCTGTCCCCCTTCGTTTCTTGCCCGACTACCCTATCCTGCCTCTATTTTGTGAAGAGATTCCCCACTGTATCCCTTGCTTCAGCATCCGTTTCTGTATAGCTATCAGCTCCCTACGGAATCATGCTCGCCCCACGCTTGTTGCGGCCGGCGTCTTCGCTGGTTCGCCCCTTCAGTTCCACTGCCACTGCCTCCCGCGCCCCCTCTATCCGTGACATCACCCCCGACTCGGCTGCTGAGTTCAACGCACGTCAGAAGGAGTTTCGCGAGAACCTAGAGGTTGCTCGCAAGAAGAGAGAACAGCAAGAGAGTCAGTCTGTCGATGCTTCTGGTTCTACCTCTGCCCCATCCCCTGCATCCCGTGACCGCCTTCGTGAGTACGCTACCGCTCCCACTGCTCCAGGTGAGAGCAATGCGAGCAGTAACAAACATCCCGTTTTTGATGCCGCTGAAGTTCTTGATAATAAGGCTTTGGGCTCACTTTCTACCCACCGTATTATAGGAGACGAGCAGCTGCAGGAAGCCAGTCAGTCTCCGAAGCGCGGCCCCCTGTCGTCGCTCATCTACGGAACAAAGGAAGGCCAGCAGCTGGACAAAGATATCGAACGGTCATTCTCGCAAGTTCTCGCCCGTGGAAAATACGTACACTCCATCGTCTTTCACGATGTGAAGCCTGACAAAGTTGACGACTATGTGAACCTCGTCGGCCAGTGGTACCCTCGCATGGCTGCCGATCCTGAAAACCGGGTGAATCTGGTTGGTAGCTGGCGCACGCAGGTTGGAGATAATGACACCTTTGGTACTTGACTTGACAAGCCCATCCAGCCTTTCCAGTTGCGCTGAGAACGCTTCTGTTACCACTGATGCTAACGGTTCTTGCAGTTCACATCTGGGAATATCAGCGATATGAAGGTTACCATGCTTCCCTCCACAACATCTCCTGTCACCCCGAATTCCCCGAATTTGACCGGCAGTTGAAGGGCTTGATCAAGAGCAAGAAGACGTCGCTGATGCAGGAATTCTCTTTCTGGCCCACGACGCCTCCACGGCGCCTGGGCGGCCTCTTTGAGCTCCGATCATACACTCTTCATCCCGGAAATCTTCTGGAGTGGGAAACACACTGGCGTCGTGGCCTCAAGGCCCGCCGGGAGGTGATGGAGGGTGTTGGGGCATGGTTTGTTCAAATTGGGGACCTGAACACTGTGCACCATCTCTGGCAGTTCGCGAACCTCGAAGAGCGCAAAGTCCGCCGTGAGCAGTCCTGGGGCATCGAAGGCTGGGGGGAAACGGTCCACAAGACGGTGCCACTTATCCAGACCATGCAGAGTCGGATCCTGATTCCCATGCCCTGGAGTCCTGTTGGCTAAGCCGGTTCAGCTCGACAATCATCACATGGTCTTGATCACGGGGTGAGTTTCCAGGACCCAGGCATACGGAGCCAAGCCCGATGACTTGTGTTCCTCAACGGTCCGAGCGCCATAAGCAGAGAAGGAATAGGAGTTATGGGGGATAAACAGGAGACCAATCAAGGATGGAGCGACTCAGCCCTGTCTACTGTTGCAGCGAATGCCGAACTATGAGGCCCTCGAGCCGTCTGGGGTAGTGTACACACTCGGCACGCTGCTCATTGTTCCTCTCACGAGCCGGCCTTGATGCCTTTTGTGTATCGTATCTAGCATTAGCATACCTATGTTCAAACTGACATCTTGTTGTATCTGTTATCCCCGTCTCCTGTCTATCTCCAGACTACGTATCTACAAAGTAGACGACCACCTGCTGCAAACAAAGTTGATCCATGGCCCCGCTTGACTGTTCTAGCGTATCCTGCGCGACTCCGCTTTGTCAACGACTAAATTCATTTCCGTCATGGGCAGCTGCCTCGGGTCCTCGCGCGACTCAGCAGACTGGTTACTGGTGTGCTGGCGCCCCCCACCTGTCCCACGACGATCACAGACGGGCTTCCGTAGCAGGACTGGTTGTTGGAAATGAGGAGACGTGGGTGCGGTCTTGTCTCCTCCGTCCGAGGTAAACCAGCAAATGAAAAGCAGCACGGCACGTGGGTATTCCGCGGGAATCCACCTGGTCCTTCGATGCTGTGCGGTGGGATTCTTCGCAGCGACTAAAGTCGTTGAACGTTCTTGGCTGTTGAAGAGAAGAGGGACCGCCTCGATACGGCTTCCTCACTGGCCTTTTTGGCTCCCCGCGTCCGCCCTCCCGTCTTTGCCTTGACTTTTCCGCCGGCAGAAAAAAAGTTACTAGAAAATTCAAGGCCAGCATCAACAAGCTGCACCCACTTCTTTCTTCCTCGCCGCGTCGCTTTTTCTTTCTTATTCTCCCCACTCGCGCTACTTTATCCTCTTCTTTTCTTTTTTCTTCTTCTTTTACTTCTGCTCTTCTACTTCGACCGTGTTCTTTTATAAACTTCATCTTTAATCTTTGAGCAACCCTTTCTCCGCTCCCCTGGCCCTGGTTCGCCTTCTCCGGCCCTTGTTTCCTTCTTTACCGCGCGGCATCTGCAATTCTGGCGTCAACTGCAGCCCGCTTCCGATTTGACTTTCATCGCGTCAAAGACTCAAGAGACCCTATACTTCCGAGCATCTTGACCATCTAGATTTACAGGCCCTATTGCTCGCTGTAGCTCAGGTCCTTCTGACCAACAGGCAACATGGTGTACATTCGCCAGCATCAACTACCCAAGCTGCGGGAATACCGTTATGCAGGAGTCGATCTTTCGCTTGTTAGCCGCTATGTCCTCAAGCCGTTCTATAATAACTTTGTGATCAAGTTCTTCCCTATGAGCATGGCGTAAGTGACGATACTGGCTTGTTTCGTCCTCTAGTTTTGTTTTATTCTCGTCTGGCTAACAGCCTTGTTTCCCTCCCCGGTCTTAGTCCTAATGCCGTAAGTCATCTTAGCCCTGGACTGGCCCTGCTGCGACAAAGACCAATAACTGAGGACTGGTAGATTACCCTGACTGGGTTTTTCTTTGTGGTAGTCAACTTCATCACCATTCTCTGGTACAACCCGACCCTAGACCAGGACTGCCCGCCCTGGGTCTATGCCAGTTGCGCCATCGGGTTGTTCCTTTACCAGACGTTTGACGGCGTAGACGGCATCCAAGCGTACGAACTGCCCCTCGCGCCCCATTTTTGATGTGATTCTCTTGTCCGCTGGTAGACTGCATGCTAAATCTGATCTTGCAGGCGGAGAACCAAGCAGAGCGGTCCTCTGGGTGAGCTGTTTGATCACAGTAAGTTATGGGACGGCCTGACCATGTTCAAAAGATGGACCGGGAATTAAGCTTCGCCTGCAGGTGTCGATGCATGCAACACGGCCTTGGGAGTTTTGATCTTCGCGGCGGCTATGAACCTCGGCCAATCTTGGGCAACTGTGTTGACCCTTTTCGGATGTAGGTGGTGGACAAGTTTATGAGTACTGGGCGATGCTGATAAGATGCAGCGACTATGACCTTTTATGTCCAGACCTGGGATGAATACTACACCCAGGTGTTGACTCTGGGAATCATCTCGGGCCCCGTCGAAGGTGTCCTCACTCTCTGCGTTGTGTTTGGCTTCACGGCCTACATGGGCGGTGGCAGCTTCTGGCATCGCTCCATGCTGGAGACCGTTGGAGTTCCCAAGTTGGCCTTCATCCCTGAGCACATCTACGACATGGCCTTTACGCAGTGGTATCTCGTCTACGGCGGAGTCCTCCTGTTCTTCGCCACCGCCTCTAGCATCGTGCATGTCATGCAGGTGCGCCGCGAGCGTGGTCAGGATCCGATCAAGCCCCTATATGGCCTACTCCCCCTGGTCGCGGTGTGGACTCTTGTGCCGGCTTATCTTTACCTGCAACCCACCATCCTGGAGAACTACATGGTCCCGTTCTGCCTGTACGTCGGCATGATCAATGCGTACGCCGTGGGCAAGATGATCTGCGCGCACCTGGTCAAGGCCAGCTTCCCTTACTTCAACATGCTCCTGATCCCTCTTGCTTTGGCAGTGCTCGACAGCGCTGGTGCGGTCTTTGGTTACTGGCCGAGTCTGCTGGGTGACGGAGTGAGGCAGATCGCTTTCGTTTGGGTGTGCCTGGGTCTGTCGATCGGCGTTTACGGCAGCTTCGTGGTAAGTGTCACGCATGATCATTCGAGGGCGAGACGCTAATTGCAAACAGCACGACATCATCACGACGATATGCGACTATATTGACATTTGGTGCTTGACGATCAAGCACCCTCACGTGGAAGTGGTGAACGCCAATGGAGAGGCGAAGAAGTCGAACTAATGAGGATGCGAATGATGGCGGTGAGGGTACAAAAGAATGGAGTCCATGTGGAGAACGTCGAATCGCATAAGACGGTAGACGGTAGATTAATTGGACGGCGCAGCCGTTCGTGCATCCTGGCCTTGCGCTATCAGGAGCATTGAATTCGAGTCGCAAGTCGTCCGGTGTCTGAATGGCAGGCACATGTCACCGGACCGGAAACGTATGTCATGGCCGTATCTAAGCAGCGTATTGGATTAGCGATAGAAATGTATTTGTATGAGATCAGCAGTTGCCGAGTGGCGACAATGCGTCAACCACCGTAATCTCTTCTGCCCGTCCGAGTAACAAGTAAATAGATAGTAGTACAAAGTAAGAAAGGGAGCTCCATCGAAGGACCTTGGAGCATCTAGCAGCATCTGGCGGCTGATATAAGCGGCCCGTGATTGGTGGAGAAGGCATCAGCCACAGGGGCCACCGCCGGGCGGTGGCAAAAGTGCTTGTTCGGGCAGTATTAGCGAGAGGGCTGCAACCCTATGCGCCCCCAAACGGGCCGCCGTGGGTGACGCCGTCGAGAATTCCCTTCAGCGCTCGCCATCTCCACGAGACCACCTTTTCGCTTTCACCCTCAAGCAGGCCATCTCCATCAGCGCTTCATTCAACTCCCTTCGCTGATCGACTTTTTGTCTCGTCAAGATGGTACGTTCTACCCCTACGATGCCATCCCACAACATGTCCAGCATATCTCCCTGCATGTTTACATAGAAATGGCCATCGCCGCTAGCCATCTGTGCACCCCGTCGTCGCCACCATCCCGTCGCCGCAGGCATCTCGAAATTTTTATCGAAAGGAAAGAAAGAATGTTGAACTGACGGATATCCCTTGGGAATAGGTTCTCGCGGTCGACCTCCTCAACCCCGCGCCTCAGGCCGAGGCCCGCAAGCACAAGCTCAAGGTATGAACAATTCCATATCGGGAAAGAAAAAGTGATCGATAAGGGATGGATGGAATGGGTTGGCTGATATCGGTTACTCCTTCGACAAACAGACCCTTGTGCCTGCTCCCCGTTCCTTCTTCATGGACGTCAAGTGCCCCGGCTGCTTCACCATCACCACCGTCTTCTCCCACGCCCAGACCGTCGTCGTCTGCGCTGGTTGCTCGACCGTCCTCTGCCAGCCCACCGGTGGTAAGGCCCGTCTCACTGAGGGCTGCTCTTTCCGCCGCAAGTAAACGTCTCGACGCAACCGTGCCGGAGCGATGATGAAAGCAATGTGGCGTTCTTCAATGATGATGGATTATAATATCTCGTTTTTCTGAGGAAACAGATTCAGATAGAAGATGGAATCCTCGCCCCTTGCGAGAAAGCCCTGCGGAACCACACAGACAAGGGAAATGAAAAAAATTTTGACCAGGCACAGAACCTCGTTTTTAAAAAAAAAAACAGAACCTCGTTTTTGATACACCTTTTCAAAAATTTTTCTCTTTTTTTTTTTTTTTTTTTTTTTTATCTTTTTGATATGGTTTTGAGTTACTGTAATTTTTGTGTGATTGAGAACAGATAGATCAGTTGGAGGATGTTGTCGTGACTGATGGTGGAGAGGACGGCAGTGGATGCACCTGTCATTGAGGTTTATATACCACTTTTTGGTACCTTCGGTGGATCGCAGTTGCGATCCTGGCATCGGTTGTTCCCTCATGTTGCTGTCGTTATCTACCGATCTGCTAACGACTCGCCTCTTGGAGAGGAATAAACCGAGACTTAGATGGGTCTCACCAGCATTGAATGGAATTATCCGGTCACAGGTATGTCCTAGATGAGATGTGTGTTACGAGAGAGGCGGAAATACTTTCATATAGATTTAGTAATCCTCGTCAGTAGCTATTGCGCGATTTGCGCCTGATTAAGTGATAGCCTTAACCTGTAACGTGTTTTCAGAATCCAAACCATTCGCTTGCTTCCTTCCTCCCTTCCGATGTGGCTCCTTCCTATTTCATCTTCTTCTCTAACGATTGATAACCAATTGTTAAGCGCCCTACCCTGCCAACAAGTCTGTCTGCCTTTATATAAGAGAACATAATAGTATGTGTTGGCCTTGAATATAGTCCTACTGGACGTTCACAATACAATGAGGCCCTGCGGCTCTTCGGGAGTATCTGGGAGATATGCCCCCTCGGCGCTTGGAGCACGCGAGTGACCAGTGTCCCTTTTGATGGACGGCGTGTATTTTGCAATATGCAAATCAAGTGTGTGTGCGTGACGATTAAAGCGGCACGGCTTGAGCCCTCGGCATCCGTCCTTCTGGCAGAGATGGCCGAGGAAGCACTTAGTGGATCGGCATGAAGGGCCCGTCTGACATGGGTGCTGACGGAGTATGTATTTCATAACGTCCAGCGAGCTTGGATCAAGACGGCCGTGGTCGTATTCACAGCCAATATTGCTGCACTCGCCGCCAAGATGGAAATTATTGCACGGCTTATGGATTTTGGCGCGACGGGTATAGAGTTCCCAGGCGTCGTGACCGGGGATCGGACAGTAGGTGTCAATGCGATCTCCGGCCAAGTTTATCGGGATATAATCTTGCCACTTAGGATCGAGGTGGGTGACAAGTTGTGAGGCATAAAACTCTTGAGTGCGAGCACTCGTAGGAGATTCCCTTCCTGGAGGAGAGGGGGTATTGTCGGATCTAGAGAGTTGTTGACCCTGCGGTATGTGGGCCTTGTTGCAGGAGCTGCCGTATCGGCAAATGCCCTGAAGAACATTAGTTGAAATGCAAAGTATGGCAATGCATTTCTACGCACCTTTTGGAAATGTTTGCAAATCGGTCTAGAGGTTGTGGACATCGAAGGCGTATGGTTGGAGGGACTCCCAGTTCCGCCAGTAGGTGTAGACATGAAGAGGGCGGGAAGCTCCCGCACCGGGAGGCCTAATCTTTCATATTCGCTGTGAAAGTTGGCAGCTTTGAGGAGGGTGATGCGATCAGTCCGGCCACGATAAGGTGTCAGTAGATTAGAATACCCGGAGTCGTGACAACCAGCGAAGAAGATGTGTCTGCACTGGCTGTTGTCGGCAAATAAGCGGAACATTTCTATTGAGGTTAGCTCGAGCCCCTCCAAAATATAGAGCTATTCATACCCCTAATCTTATAGTCCGCTCCCTCTTTCTTATCTCCCGCATCCACGAAATCAAAAAGATCCTCAGCCCGGGTGAAGCTTGCCGTAAAAGGCGACAGAGAGCGGGCTTCCTGTCCCACAATCCCGGAGCGGGCCAATGACTTTGACAATCCAAGAACGTTTGCATAAATGCGTACCATCACACGGCACTGGTCAGCCTGATGGCCTAGTCGATCATGGAGCAGTTCGCGGATGGAATCGTTAAGGATCCGGGCAGCCGTAATGCCACCATCGGCTCCGGCTTTTAGCAGATGCTCTTTGAACTAGCGCGGAGTTGATCAGTATGATCTCTCCTAAGGATCCAGATGTACCTACGAGATAGCCATCTCCATCAACGAGGACCAGTACGAAAGGATTCCGCTCCTAAGTCACCGTCAGAGCAGGACAATGTACATACTGACGGATCATTCTGCGTACCTGACCCCTAGCCATCCGCTTGTACTTCTCTCTAGCCTCTTTCTCCTCCTCATAGTCACTCTTAAGGTTGTTGTAGCTGTCTAAGAGCTGGCGGAACTTATCCAGGAGGTTCTGTACATCGGCATGGTGTTGCTGGTTCTGTTGCACAATGCTTGATAGATTGCTATCTAGAGCGTGGATCTCGGCATCACCAAGCATATTTTTCGATTGAAATATGAATTTATGGTGAAGGAGTAGGATTGTCTGTTTTCTTTTTTCTCGAATGGGACACTGTCGCTAAGGAATGATGTCGAGGGAGTTGCGGAGACCACCATGGGTGGGTGGCTGCGTATCCCGAAAGCCAAGGATAGATGGGTCGACTAACATTCACTCAAGACGAGGGAGAGAAGGTAATGATAGGTAGGTGGTGAAGACTCCAAAGGAATGGGCAAGTGTCGGCGAGCGAAAAGAGGAGAAGCAAAGCAAAGCAGCGGAACTAGTTGGAAACTAGTTTGGATTTGTTGTGTTGGCCGTCGCTTACCCGCTGCGGTACCTGCGCTTATCGATAAGCGGCTATCTGTTTATGGCAGGCGGTGGGAGGAAGCTGCTATCGGAGCGGGGTAGCAGACTATCCCCCTTGTGGGTATAATGTCTAGCATTGCTGCCATAATCCACTTATGCGCACGTGCATTACATGTTTACAACACATTCATTTGGAATGACAGAGTCAGGAATTGAACATTCCAGTGAGCAGTGAAAGCAGCCATGCCAATCATTGTGGTTGGAAGGTGAAAAATATCCAACGCTTGTCTGCGTTCTCTGCAGCCATCCGACTCTTTTGACCATTTCACCAATGATCTACCCCTACACGGTCCAACATGCTTTATACAACTGGTATACTAGAACTATTACAATGAGATCCCGATTCTATATTTGCACGCATGCATAGGGTCTTACTGGTATGGCTCTTGCAAGAACCTAACCCTGAATCACCCTTATCACCGATCTAGTATGGCGACAAACCCACAAGCTGACCATATCAAGACAACAACCGCATATGGCTATGTACTCAAACAAATACCAACTAATAGATCGACACATGTCTCAATATGTCTGTCTCTACCTCGCCTTTTCCACCCCCTTCTCTCCCCTTCCAAAAACCATCTCATCCCTCCCCCAAACCAACATCACCGCTGCCCCCACCGGCCCAGCAACAACCCCCAACAACCCGACCCTCACCACCAACGACACCCACTCGCACCACCCGATTGCACCACCTTTATCCATTCTCACTGCATTACCGTACAACCTCCACGCCCAAACCACCATTCCCGCCGACCCAATCAAGTAATCCCACCTCAGGAACGCATGCACCCCGTCTCCAACACTAGCCACCTGTATAACAGGCGATGTCCAGGGCGTGGGGATCCCGAAGACAATACTGGGGTGTAGGGGGGTCCTGTATTCAGGGGAAAGGATAGCAGGTGCGAGGATAGTAGATAGCGAGACGGTGAGGGTGACGAGGTGGGGGATTAGGGTGTTGAAGAAGGCAAAGGCATAGATGAAGCGGAGGGAGGAGAGGTTGTGATTCTTCTGGGTGGGCTTGGGGGTGGATGTGAATGGGGAGAAGAGGGCGTGGGAGAGGGTGAGGAGGATGGAGATGTATGCTGGGAAGGGTTGCCAGAGGGCGATGAAGAGTTGTTTTAGGTCGGTTGTTATGGTTGAGGAGATGGGGAGGACCATGAGGGCGCTGGGGATGATGTAGGAGACGGTGAAAACTAGGGGGAGGGTGGTGAGGATGGTCTTGGGGATGTGGATGTTCGTTGCTGTGGGAGAGGTGGAGGTTATGGATGTGGTGAGTTGCAGGGCGCAGTAGAGAGGTGCGGCGAAGGCGAAGGTTAGGGTTTGGGCGGAGAGGCCGAATATCAAGGGAATGGTGGTGAGGTTAGCTTGATACACATGGGTACATGGTGGTGGACTCACTATGCTGCCAGTGTCCAGGCATTTCCTTGTCGCCATGATTCTAGGGTTATCAGGATCCAGGCGGAACCGAACGTCCCTGCGAACCCTAGCGTATGGAGAGTCAAGGCGGGGTGGCTTCCATCGGTGGTAGGCCAGAAAAAGGTAGTCAAGGTGGTGAGCAGGTGGTCTAATCGAGGGAGACCGGTGTAGACGGTTCGTAAAGGTACATCGCTGCCTGGGAGTGTTTTGCGCTCGATGCTTCGTCTTGCTAGTTCGAGGAGCCCATTGGCGTCGGCGTAGTACCAAATGGCATAGAGGGTGAAGAGACTGAGGGCGGGAAGGATCAGTTTGGCAGACATGGTGCGTGGCTGTTGATGTATTTGCTAAAAAGAGAGTAGGATCTAATCGTCCTTATATGCGTTTGTGATACTGTTATTATTTTTTGTACGACATGTAGATCGCAGACCGAAAGGGCAGCCGTTGCGAGCAGCCGATCGTAGATCTGCGTCTACCGAGGCTGTCATCGGGAACCAGATCCGGGGCTTCACATGGTAGTGTAACAGATTGATCCGACTGTCCACGGGGCAGTTAATCTCTGTACTACACGGTGATTCAATCATAATTTCAATCCTGGATACATGGGCTCAAAATCAATGCCAGATTCCGACTCCAAACGTTCTTCCCAACACAAATACAATGCCCCGGCTATACGATTAAATGAATAGCTTAGTTAATACTAGCAGAAAGCTTACCACTCCTCTTAAAAACAAAACGAAGCTATAGTATAGGAACAGAAACATGACTACATCTGCATATTCCCTCGGAACCCCAACATAACCTCACATACCACAACCCCATACCAACTACACATCTCCTCTAAAACAGGACAAAGAACCCCGGAGCATCTCACCTCATCAGTCCACCCCCAAACTCAAACCCTCTCTACCCTATACGTTCCTTTATTTACATCAT